TAGTAAGACCTATGCATTCAGGCAAACAACTATAAACAAATCATAAAATTTTAACATGAGAAGAAACATAAAATCTGACAAATATGCTCATTTAATGATAAAGAAACTCAGGACCACAGAGTTGATATGACTCTCAATATTCCATGTGCAAAATGACAGGAGGACCAGAGTGCAGAACCAGATATAAAACAGGAAATCCAAGAAATTGCAAAGAGAGGAATCAGAAAATTAAATTTGGTGATTGACAGTGACATGTTTAGGTAAGAGAAATGTAAGAAAACATTATTAAGGTCTTTCTATGTGTCAATCATTATGCTAGACAATTTGTTTTTTTCCTAAATATAAGTTAATTTAAATATAACATCATAAAGGTAAGTACAGGATTCCAATTTTAAACATGAAAACCTGAGGTCTGCGGTGGTTAACTAGTCCACGGTTACATCCACTAAGTATCGCAAAGAGTCAGGACACCATTCATTTGAAGTAAAAGCTCCACTTTTAAGACTCTTTAAAATGATCTCAAATCTACAAGCACAAAGAGCAAAACTGAAGTATCATTCTGAAGAGCCAGGAAACCCACCGTTATTTTAATTCAGTCCTATTAATAGAGATATGTCACCTCTGTGCTTATACCTATTATCAGTCCAATCTGTCTGTTACCAATAGGCAGGTCTAGGACTTCTCATTAAAGCCAAACTCCCCATCCCATCCACACTGAAACATACCTATGGAAAGGGATTATATCAAAATATATATAAGGCTAACTAAACTGATTAATTTCAAGCCTTCCACAACTTCTCCAGTAACTATAGCTTCTGGTTTGACATAGCTATTTATCTTCAAAATATGATAACTATACTAAGCTTTTCTAAAAACCTGTCATATCAAGGATCCTCAAAGTACTGTGTTACAGATGGGGGTGTGGGGGAGGAAGCATGGATACAGCAACCCACTCTTTCTGCACTGTGGGATAGGACTTATGTGTTGGTATCAGTGTTTTATAATAATTTCTCTTATTCAACCACATATCTTAAGAAATATAATCATCTCTATACTCTACATTAATCCCACAAAATATTGTCCAGAACTAAATCCTGCACTTCCTTCTTAAACTAAGCAACCAAGAATGGTACCCTATAGTACCAAGAATTGCCTCTAATGCCACTTATGACCTCTGACCCCATATGTTGAGAAAAGGCACAAAGTCTAACTAAAATATAAAAAAGAGAGGAGGGCCTCCCTGGTGGTGCAGGGGTTAAGCAACGCACTATGAAGCAATCTGCAACCTCTGCAGCACCGGTTCAATCCCTGGCCAGCCAGGGAGCAACCCACATGGTACAGAAGACCTCTCCTGTCTCGCCTGCTGCATCCCTCAGCAGTGTCTTTCAGTCAGTCTGCCTTTTCTGTTCCCCACTCTGTCTCTGGTGAATCCTCTCACCCCCGCATCTCTGGCCTGTACCCCAGCTCTTCTTATGCATAAATAAAGCTTTAAAAATAAATAAATAATAAAAAAGAGGAGACCTGAAATGTCTAGACTTTACCTCCAGAGGTGAGAAAAAAGGTCAGAGACCACAAGGCCTCAATGACCAACAACCAAAGATTAAGATACTCGTTAGCTTGGGAGAAAAGTAGTAAAGAAGGTCTTTCCTACAGTCTGATCTACGCAAATGGGTAGAAAATTGTACACAGACAGGACAAATTGGAATGGTTTTGCAGCCCAGACTGGATACAGTGTACTGTCAAAAAACACATGTATTTCATGCAATCCCACCCTCCCCTCTGCGCCTGATACTTGCAGGTTAACATTTAGAAAGGAGCCCGCCATAAAGTTTTGGATCTTTGCCAGAGAAGCAGTTGCTGGTCCTCTGAGAATTCCTGTGATTATCATATGTGGAAGGCAAAAATCACAGCCAAGACAATAATGAGTATCATGGGGATCTCTTCCTCCGCCACTGCCTTAGGGGATTCTATTTGGTTCTGTGTGCTCTTACTAACCTCCCATTCTTGCCCTAAAATGAAAGCTATGTTACCTGTTTAAGGCCAACAAAATCCAAAAGGTGCAACATGTCAGTCAAACCACGTGGAGCCCTTGGAGATACAGCAAAAAACACAGACTAAAGGGGCCTCCCCGGTGGTGCAGCGGTTGAGCGTCGGGCTGCAAAGCTGCCCGCAGCCTCTGCACTGCTGGTTCGATTCCCGGCCACCACCGGCGAGGGTCCCACATGGCATGCAGACCTCTCCTGCTGCGCCCACTGCTCCCCTCAGCAGTGTATTTCATCGGTCTGTCTGTTCTGTTCCCCGCTCTGGCTCTGGTGAATTCTCTCACCCTTCTACGCTTCTGACTGTACCCAGTGCTTGTGTAAATAAATAAATAAATCTTAAAAAAAAAGGAAAAACACAAACTAAAGTAAGGAACAGGTAATATCAAAGAGAAGGTATGTGAAATTGATGATCACAAGGAAGGACAAGGTAACATGTTCTCGAAAAAATAATTATTTCTGATAGACCTCTAGAGAACAGATTTTGAAGGAATGCCCAATATCCTTTCTCCCCGACTCCACCTTTCAACACCTCTATACCACCCTCACCACTTACTCAACATTTAGTACCAGAGAAGACTGATCACTGGATTAGCAGGATCAAGAGTACATGAAGAGAACATTCCATCCTGGGAACAACATCTTTAAATTATTTAGGCTGTTTACCATTCTTCCCTATAGAGTAAAAGCATGAAATTTTGCCAACGCTTTCACAATATACCAGTCAGCACCATAGCAACTCAATCCTCTGCCGACCAAAAGATTAACACATACACAGAAAACAGGAAATTCAACAAAAATTAAAGTTTGACCCTAGACTCCCTCAACAGTTAAATGTAGTAGCAGTATCTTTATATCACACCCACTTCATGCTACCCTTACAGCTTCCTAGCATAAGCAAGTTCTTGGGATTATACAAACTGCTGCTTCTGTTTCCAGCCCAGATTTCTAGAAATGAAATCCTGGAATTGAGGGAGAAAGAAAAACAAATGTTGGCCAAAGGAGGGAGGAAAATGCATTGTCTATATAATCCTAGTTTAAATGGAACAATCACCATTAGTTCCATCAAGCGCTCCCCCTCCCCAATAAAACCACTTACCCAAAAATGCAGATCTAAAATACTCCCTTGGCTTAAACCACACAAAGAGCAATTTAATAGACACAATCCTACAGATTTTCTCAGAAAGAAATGAGGAAGAAATTAACTATCAACTATGAAAAATTCAAGTCTTTTTTTTTTTTTTTTGCACCTTAAAAGTCAAACTTCATTGTTGGTTATGTATGCAAACAAAATGTCTATAAAAATCAAACCAAACACCTGTTCTGATAAGCAGCACCCCTCCATTTTCCCTCCAAACCACATACTCCTTATTCAGGACCCTTTTTGAGCCACTGTTCCCAAGGTATAAAATCTAAATTAAAAAATGGAAGGAAACATTTCAGAAACTAGTTCACAAAACCAAATTAGATCTTTCCACAAAATAGAAGAGATAAAATAGAAACACAAGTTTCTCTAGCTTATAACAAATAGTTCAAAGAATATCCATTTATTAAACTCAATCAAACCCCACTGCCACCTTTAACCCAAAACTATTGCAAGTTCAAGAGCCAAAAAAAGACCCAAGCAAATACTTTCTTTTCACATTATTCTCAACATGAAGAAATCTGACCCCCTTCCTACTACATCACAACTTCTGTGAAACAAGCTGAGAGGCGTCTTTGGCCAACTTTTTTTTTTTTTTTTTTTGGAGACTAACCTCCAACCAATTCCAGAAGAGGAGACAAACCTCAAGCAAATTTAACCCTTGGAATCCATCTCTTCGACAGTGCAGTACAACCCAAGCTGCAGGCAGCAATGCTTTACAGCGACATTTGAAGATTTCTTAATCACTGAAGTGTAAGCCTCAGCCCTCACAAATCATCGCCACAGAGATTATTCTTGGCATCAACAGAGGGTGCTGGGACTGCAATTCACTCAAGAACCCTTCATTCACCATCATCACACTCGACATTAAAAATGCACAGCCTCAAAGGAAAAATGTCACCTTCCACACAAGGACAAATGCCTCTTCTTCCACGCCTCCACGGCGAGGGGAGAGAGCCGAGCATGCACGGCTGCAAAGATCCCCCGAGCTTAAAGTTTTCCTTCCCACCAAACTCTGCAGCCACCGCGGCGTGGCCGGTCCTCGTCGCACAGGCTTTAGTGCCACCCCCGGCCCCCCTAACGCTGTCAGACGAGCAGCGTCTGGCCCACGGGGTGACTGCTTGAAAAAAGAACAAAAGCCGAGCCCGTCGCCGAGTTAGCAAGAGCGGGGGGGCCCCGGGGTCCGGCTTCTCCGCCTCCCTCCCGAGGGGCGGCCGCGGCCGGAGCGCCGGCGCTGACCACCGGGCCACCCCGCCTCCGGCGCGCGGTCCACAGGTTCGCTCCCCTTTCCCCGTCCGCGCGGCGCGGCCCCGGCCCCGGGGGGCGCCTCTCCACCCCGCGCCCACCTCCGACACCCCGGCCGGGGGCGGCGGGGCGCCGTCCAGGCTGCCTCCGGGGGGCGCGCGCCCCGGTCATCCCCATTTCGCAGCCGGGGCGCGCGAGACCCGGAGGCCGGCGGGCTCGCCAAGGTCACCGCGCTCGCCGGGCCGAGGGGCGCCCGCGCCGACTTCCGGCTCCCCCTCTCGGCGGCGGCGGCTCGGGGCGCCGCTCCCCTCCGCGGGCCGGGGCCTCGCGCCCCCCGCGGACGCCGCCCGCCGCCCCGCGCGCCGCGGTCCCCGGGCGAGCCCCGCCGGCGCCGTGACAGCTGCGCCCCCGCCCCCGCCCGGCGGCCGCGGGCGAACTCGGGGAAGTGGAGGGGGCCGGGCCGAGGGCGCGGGGCGGGGGCGCAGCTGCTCCCCGCCCCCGAGGGCCTCGGCGCCGCGCGGCTCGTGACAGCTGCGCCCCCCGGGCGGCCCGGCGCCCGCGCCCGCGCTCACCTGCCGCCGCCGCCGCCGGGCCGCGCTGGCGGGGCCGCGCTCCCCGCGCCCCGCGCCGCCGCCGCGGCCTCCGCCGCTCCCGGGCCGCGAGCCCGCCGCGCCGCGCCGCGCGCCGACCCCTCCTCCGGCGCGGGGACCCGCGGGGGCCGCACGCCCGCCGCCGCGCTCGGGGAGCCGCCGGGACCGCCGGCCGAGGGGCCCGGGCCGCGGGCAGCCGTCTGGGGCGCGCTCGGCGACCGCGTCAGACTCCCGCTCGCCCGGCCTGAGGAACAGGCGCTTCAGCCGCTCTCCGCGGCCGCCATGTTCTCCTCCTCCTCCTCCGCGGCCGCCGCGCCGCCGCCCCCGCGCCGCCCCGCCCCCGCCGGCCCCGCCCCGCCCCGCCCCGCCCCGCCGCCCGCCCGCCCGCCCCGCCGGGCCCCGCCGCCGCCCGGCCCGCGGCCCCCGCCGGCTCCGGCTGGGCCCGGCCGCCCGGCCCGCGCCGCGCCCGCGAGCTCCGACGGCGCGCCCCGGGCGGGCCGCACGCCCCGCGCCCCCTGCCGGCCGCGGCCCGAGGGGAGCCCGCCCGGCCCGCCCGGCCCGGCCTTCGAAGTGCGGGAGAGGCGGCCCGTCTCCTCCTCCCGCGGGGCGTTCCTCGCCGCGGCCGCCGCCCGGGAGCGACCTGGAGCCGCGGGGCGCTTTGATCTCGGCCTCCCGCCGCCCACCTCCCCGAGAGCGGGGCCGGGGCGCTGTTGCCAGAGGCCCCGCAGACCGGCAGGCAGCCCCGGACCTGCCCCTCCGCTGGCTCGCGCTGTCACTTTGAGCGAGACCCGTGCCGCGGGCCGTGGTTTTATTCTGTGAGACTGGGAGGTGGCTGCCCAGGTGATTTCACAGACTGTGGGACGGAGCGAGGGAAGAGCACCTGCCCCCTTGGCTTCACAGATGACTGACTGACACAGAGTCTGGCTCTGCGTCCATGAATGACCCAAAATGTCTATTCTTTGAATTACCCAAAATGTACCCAAAAGGGGCCCACAGCTTTCTTCTCTTCCGACCGTTTTTTCTGTTCTGTAATGGAAGTGCTACTTCCAAAAGTAATGTTCCTTGTCGCTGGAGAAATCAAACAGCTGCTGAACAGGCTTTCTGAGCCGTGATGGCCTTATCTAGAAAGCATCCCTCATTGCAAAGGCTGGCGATATAATACCTGTCTCTCCTCCCTGGTTGTGCTGAGGATGAATGAGTCACTGGCTGCCCAAGTGCATACGTCTGTCCTTTCCCGCACTCCTGTCCCCAGCTAGCTGCCTTCGCCTACCTCATGCTGTCCTGCTGCTGCTGCTGCTGCAGTCTCCCAGCCTTGCCTGCAGGTTCTCTCCCAGTGTTTTTAAAGCTACCTCTGTAAACCTTAAGTCCTTCACACCCCTTGTCCTAACTGAAATCCGATGGCCTTGAAAACACCACTTGAAAATTCCCTGGGACCTCTCTGAGACCGTGAGCAACTTCTCCCAGAGGCAGGTACTCCATCCTTCACGGCCATCATGGTCCTCTCCCTGTCCTGCTCATAAAACAACCTTTAGCCCAGACCCCATTTATATATTAATTATATTCAGTCTTGCCCTAGAGGCAAGAATCTCATTGGTTCTTGCACTCACCTGGTTTAGCAGACTTCTAGCCACTTGCAGAGTCCCCATCCCCACTAATAGCTGGAATACCAGGGGGGGGGGGTTGGGTTCCAGCTTAGTTCCGTCTGGGAGGACCTACCTCTCAGTCTGGTCCAGCCCCATCCTTGTGAAGGTGCCTACAAATGAGACACATGTGCAGGTGACAGTGTTTCCTGTTGGGGACACACTGCAGTTATTGCTGATTGACAAAGCCAGTGGACACTTCGGTCAAAGATCATCCCCTGGCCTTTCTATAGACCTTCATTCTGCTAACTCCTCCTTTGTATAACTCCTCCTCCCCTGACTTCTACATCATTCTCCATCTCACCTTTTATGTCAAGTTCCCTTTGCCAGCACTGTTCTTATTTTTTATTTTTATTTTTGTAATAGCCGTCCTAGTAGCTGTGAGGTGGTATTGCATTATAGTTTTGACTTGCGTTTCTTTTATGGTTAGTGATGTTGGACATCTCTTCATGAACTTATAACCCATGTTTCTCTCTCTATTGGGCTTCACTTCTCTAGTTCTTCTCTACCTCTCTGGCTCCATCTACTTTTCCTAAATGGACCTACTTCCTTAACTGCTCATTTTTTACAAAGTCATGAAAGGAGGGTATCCTCAAGGTTTTATTTTTCCCCTGCTCTCCTCTCACTTAGATTGACTCATTTATTTCCATAGCTTCAACTGTGAATAACACCTGCATCTCCTTCTTCCAGCCTCCCTCCCACTCTGCAGCCCAGTGTCTTAATTAACTTTTCTAAAGCCTCAGGACATGCAGTGTTGAGGTTCTGTTGAATAGTGGTGAAAATGAAAGGCATTATTTACTAAAGGCATTACCATAACCAACCAGTTATGGTAAAGAAAGAACTTCTTTTCTAGAGAGACTCCTTAGGCATGATCCTTTGACCTTTTCTCCTGCAAATCAGCCACTTGCTCAAACAGTTAAAGCCCACTCTTTTCCTTTCTTGTAGTGTTAAAATACCATAAAATTTCCCATCATTTCCATTTTTAAGCATTCGTTTCAGTGGCAATGAATACAGTCACAGCATTGTGCAGTCATCATCACCATTCATCCCCACAACTTTTCTCATCTCAGAAAACTGTGCCCACTACACAACTCCCTGTTCTCCCCTCTCCTCCAGTCTCTATCAACCACTGTTACACATTTTTTTATTACAAGTGCCTCATATAAGTGAAACCATACACTATTTGCCTTTTGTGATTAGCTTATTTCACTTACCATAATGTGTCAGAATTTCCTTCTTTTATAAGGATGAATATTCCATTGTATGTATCTATCACATTTGCTTATTTATCTATTGGACACTGCATTGTATCCATGTTTTGACTATTGTAATACTGCTATGAACATGGGTATGCAAATATCTCTTTGAGACCTTGCTTTCAATTTGGGGGTGGGTATATACCCAAGAGTAGAATTGATGGATGATAGGAGACTGCTTCAGGGCAGCCCAGGCCCATGCCACCAGAGCCCAGGGGCCAGTCCACACTAGAGTGGGATGAGAGAATCACTGCTGCCACTCCAGGGGCAGCCTGGGTGCTGCCCATAGGCAGAATACTTGGGCGGTAAGTGATGAAACCACTGCTACCACAGGCACCACAAAAGCTGCCGCTGTCACTGCCACCAATGCAGCCACCCACTGTCAGGTTAGCCTGGGCAGTACATACTAGGGCTGACTGCTGGAGCCCCACTGATGGCCTGCTCTAGGGTGGGATGACCACCACTGTCAGAACCCAGGACCGAGCCCACTCCAGAGGCAAGGTGAGCCTTGCCACTTCAGGAATGGCCTGGGCACTGCCTACTGGTGCTGTGCGCAGGGGCCAACTGCTGGAACCCTCGTGAGCATACTCTCACTGGGGCAGCCAGGTGAAAATTTGCCCTCAGCAACAATGAAGCTGATTTGTCCTGCCTTACAGGCAGTGGGGCAATGATTTCAGGGTTTAAGGGTTTTAGCTAAATTGGCTTTGCAGGAGCCTTGCTAAAACTGGACAATGCAGGGACTGGCACAGAAGCTCATAAACCAGGGGTTGGTCAAGAGAAGCTTGAAGAAGACAACTTAGAGCACATTATAACAGGTTAGAGCCAGTCATAGCAGAATGGAGCCAGTTGAAGCAGTTTGGAGCAGGCTAAAGCTGGTTGAAATCCATTGGAGCAGGTTGATGACAGTTAGAGCAGGTTAGAGGCAGATCAACATGAATAGAGTAAACTAGAGAGCCTGTTGGAGCTTGTTGGAGCCAGTTCTAGGTGCACTGATCTGGACTGAGCCAGTTGGAGCCAGTCAAAGCCAACTGGAGCTGGTTGGCAGTTGGAACTGGTTCCAGCTAGTCAAGCCAGTTGCAGCTGATTGGGGCCCATTGGATTCAGTTTGACCTAATTGAGCTGATTGGGCCAGTTGGATCCAGTTGAAACTGTCTGAATTCTGTTAGAGTTGGCTTGAGCCAGTTGGAGCCACTGGATCTGGTTAGAGCCAGTTTCAGCCAGTTTAAGAGTCAGTTCAAATCAGTTCTGGCTGGTTTGAATTGGATTAAAATGGTTGGAGCCAGTTACTATTGGTTTGAGCCAATTGGAAATGGTTGGAGCCAGATCAAGCCAGTTGCATCCAGTTGTATGCAGTTGGGTCTGGTTGGAGCCCCTTCTATCTGGTTGGAGCTGGTTTGAGCCAGTTAGAACTGGTTCCAGTGATTTTTGCATTGGATTCATCCAGTTGGAGGCCATTTCTGACAGTTGGGACTTGTTGCAACAAGTTGGATCCAGTTGGAACCAGTTTCACCCAATTGAATCTGGTTATAGCTGTTTTTAGCTCTTTCAAACTCGCTGAAACTGGTTCCAGCCTGTTTTAGTTGGACTGATCCAGTTGCATTCAGTTCAAGCTGGTTGGTTCTGGTTGAAGCCAGCTCAATCTGGTTGGAGCCGGTATAGGCAGTTCTAGCAGGTTTGATCTGGAATCATCCAGTTGGATAGGGTTCAAGCCAGTTGGAGCCAGATGTAGCCTGTTGGATCCGTTGATCCTGGAAACCAGCCATTTCCAACTGCTTTGACCTGAATTGAGCCAGATGTAGCCAGTTGAAACTGTTCAATCAGGTTGGTGCTCATTCCAGCTGGTTTGAAGCTGATTAGCTGGTTTTAACTGGTTGGAACCATTTCTGGTTAGATTGAGTTGGTTAGATACAATTCTAACTAGTTGGGTCCAGTTGGATCTGCTTGGAGCCTGTCTGATACGTTTGGACCTTGTTTCAGCCTCTTTGAGTCAGACTGGGTTGGTTGGGGCCAGAGTAGGTTGGAGCTGATTGGATACACTTAGAGCCCCTTCAATCCAGTTTGAGCAGGTTCCATCCCATGTGGACTGGATTCAGCGTGTTTGAGCTGGTTTAAGCCAGTTGGAACC